CAGGAGGAGGAGGAGGAGGAGGAAAACAATAAAGTGGCGAGGTATGCAGCACAGCCAAGCGTTCGATATTGGGCGGAGAAGGGCGGATGGTTCGAGAGAGAGAGAGAGAGTTGGGTTGGGCTCTCCGCTCTATATAGGCGTTGGGGCGGGGGCGGGGGAGGGTCAATATAGGAAGAGGAACGCGCGAACGGAACGGACCACACCTAGAATTCGCGGCATTCTAACGACGCCGCGTACAACACCACACGTAGGTACTCTAATGAAATCTATACTTGCAGTGGCAGTGGCCACTACCGCCCCGCGCGTGGGTGTTGTACACCCACCAACCCCTGCGCGATCGATAGGGAATTTCGGAGGGGCTTCGTCGTTCTCTTCCCTTCGTTCACCCGCTCCTACATAATCTGGTGATGGTGCTATACACACACGTATCGAAACGTTTCAAATTTACCGCACATCCTTCGATTGCTCGCTGTTTTATAGTCATTTGTCTAATAAATGCAGTTTCATATACGTATTGACATTTTTATTTTTCCGCTTATTGCATGTATTTGTGCATTATCGCACTGAAATGACGACGGAGGGAAAAATGGAAAGCTCTCGTTGTCTGATAAAATCTGCTCTACTTTGCTTCCCGCGATATGACCGATAATAATACTGCATCTCATTTTTTTTAACGACCAAGTGGTGTGTGTAGTGACATTTATACATCCAGGTGCAATCAGTACCTACACCGTGTCGTTGGCATTTTGCATCTTCATTATCATCGTATGTGAAGGTTTTTTTAAAATTTTTTTTATTTCAGTGAAAAAGCCAATGCGGAAAGTGAAGTAGCATCGGAAAAAAAATCTCGGACAATTGTATTATATTTTTGGTTGGAAGCCGTTATATGTATCGTTATCCATTTTTTTCCTAATATACATGGTAGGTAATATGTACCGAAAAACGCGTTCATGTTGAATGAAAAAATCACGCAGAAATTATAGTTGCGTAGGAATTTGGTGGCCGACTCTGGAATGTATTTTGCAAAGCAAGACGATTGCGAATATAAATATAAAAATAAATCAAATTGGGTATTCGGAATAGCAATTTCTTATTTAATATTTTTTTATTACTGCGTTGTTATTACAGAGTTGAGCCCTCGAGTCTTGGACTTTCTTGAAACCGTACATATATATATTATATACACTGTACGGTAAAGTATTTCAGGTATACCCTTGCGTAATTAAATATAAGCGCTGAGATGGCTATTTTTCGCCGTTTCCTTCCACAATATACTTTTTCACTCTCTCGCTTCACTTACGACTCTTATACTCGGTTTACGCGCGTCAGCGCACAATGTGCTCATTATACGTTACACGTCGCATCGCATACATTTCATTACAGTGCACCTATACGCGTCCACTTGCATACAAATTCCGTCTAGTTTTGTAGTTTAGCATTCAACGCGGGAATTCATCGTTCGACTTATGTACAACTATCGGGTGAATAACTGGCGTAGCGTGATTTTTGTTTTTCTTTCTTTCTTTCTTTTTTTTGTTTTTTTTTTGGTAAAAAAATTACAAAGCGCATTTTTTTCCAATGGATTTCCAACGAAACGAAAGATAAGCTCAATATAGCCCTTACGTTATATAGTGATTGCACTTGCGCTACAGGAAGTACAACACTTTTTACCTCTTTTTAAACAAACATCAGTAAATTATTAATCTTACAGGGGGTAGACCAAAAAAAGAAATCAATAAAGATAACAAAAAAAAAAAAAAAAAAAAAAGTCACGCTAGTTCAAAACTGAATACAAAACTGATTGAAAGGTTAAATTTTTAAATGGTTCGCACGAGGTGATGTTCGCCTACTCACTTGAATTCGCGCGTATGAGTTGCGCAATGTATACACGTTTGCGTACTTGCATATCGCATGATGATACGTATATATATATACGAGTTAAACACGTGGCACGTAAAAAAGCTCCATCAGTGGAGACGAAGAGAGAGAGAGAGCTACATATACATGTATAAGCTCACACGTGTATATATATATATATATACATACGCCCACGGACGTATATTAAAAGGTCATACCCCTCATTAACGCACCACCACCGAGACAACTCTCGTATCAATTGGCCGTTGATGCACGTGAATGAACTCTCGCCGAGCGGTATCTTCTTTTTCTTCTTTCTCTTCGCCCTGTTGTTGATGTCTTTTTTTATAATCTCGCCAACTTTACAATTAGTCCAGAGCGCGAATAAATACCCGCAAGGACTCGTTTTCAGATTTGTGGGTTAATAATGCGCGCACGTGCATAAAAATATATCTCCCCCTCGATACACACGGACACAAAAACAAGGCCGCGAGCGCAAAAACTCGCGAGATTTAAATAATAAATATTACTCAATTACCGAGCCTCTCTCTCTTTCTCTCTCTCTCTCCCCACGTTGCGGACGTCTCTAATCAACGAGCTCATATATTCAATTTGCATTAATTACACTATTTCTTGTATACAATCTGTCTGTCTGTGTGTGTGTGTGTGTGTGCGTGTGTACAAACGAGCGCAGCAGAGGAAAAAGATATTTTTAATCGCGTGAAATTAGACGCATTTTAAATCTCACCGCTATCGAGCTGCTGCACGTTTTTTTCTGTCCCCCTCTCCCCTCCCGCCGGAGTTTTATTTATTATTTCAGTTCAAGCGCGGAAAATCTCTTTTTTTTACGAAATATAGACCGCTGGTGCTTCCATACTGTATTCGTCCTATTTTACTGCTGGTATAATACATCCCCATTAAATAACTGTCCCAAAGAGGAAGGGATTGGCGGGTAAATGACGCGGTGTCATCATCATTATTATTGTTGTTATTGCCGGTTAATTAATTTGAATCGAGTCGCTTAAACTCCCCCGCCCGGAGAGTTTATAAATAAGAGCGTCGCTCGCAGCGAGGAAAAAAAGATGTACAGATACGAGCGGGCAAAATAAAAAAAAATAAAAAATGTGTGCGTGCGTACACCCGCGCTTCTAATTTTACCGATCGGCGCGATTTATTCGTATATAAAGCCCGCCGATCGCTTAGCCCGGGCGGGAAAAAGCCCATAGTCGCGCAATTTCCGCGATACTTTTATACAAACGCGAGCTGTCCTCCCCCCCCCCCGCCTTGGCTTCCGCTCTCTCGCGCGCGTTCAATAAAATGAGTTCTGAAAGCACGGCAAAGAGCCCTGTGAAATAAAACAAGAGGAGAAGAAGCGGCATCGCGACGAGATGAAACGACAACGGGTGGGGGGGGGGGGGAAGAGGAGCAACCGAGCACTTCGAGAGCAATTATAGGGGCCAGAAATAAATATATGTGGGTGTTTTATGCGCGTGTAAATTAAATATAGAACCGAGCGAGCGACAAAAGTTGCTTGGGATATCTTTTTTTTTTTTTCTTCTTTTCTTTCTTGTATCGAGGCGCGGAGAGATGGTGCTGGAAATCGGCCGGGGAGGGAGGTACTTACGAAGAGACGCGCGCACGGGGACACGGTTAAAGTGTAAAAATTACACGCGGCTCCGTAGGGTGTATTTTATATGCTCGAGTTTCACAAATAGCTGGCTCGGCGTGAAAAGGACGTGCGACTTTTTTGGAAATTTTGAATGACAAGGAATAATAATAATCGCATCTAGGCATATCGTCGTAGCGCGAAATTTCGATTTACTCGCGCGTGTATATATTATTATTATTATTATTATTATTTTTAGCTAAATGCTACAACGATCGGCCGAAATCGCCAAGTATTATCGTCAATTATTACCACAACCGGTGTATATATATAAATAGTAAAAGTTACACGAGGATAAAAATTTTTAAGTGATTATTTATCGTTGCTCGCGTGTGCAGCTTATCGGCCACCGGCAGAAGTGAGAGCAATTTTTTTTTTTTCCTGTATACACGCGCAACAACTATATTATAATATATACGGTTGCTCGCTCTTCTCGCGTAATACGTGTTAAAGCGCATGACCCACATACTTGAATTTCGCAATGAAACGTCGACGACGACGATGATGTACCAAACGAAGATTCGGCCGAGCTCTGTATACGCATTATACAATAATTATAAATTATCTCAGAGCGGCTCGCAATCACTTCCCCCCCCCCCTTTCTCCTTATCGTACTTCAAGTGAACATGTGTACGATTGCGAAAAAACAAAAACACAACCCGTACACGGCTATGGAGCTTTTACGGGCAAATCCGATCGGTCAGTAGAAACTTTGCCACCGCGGCATCCGATTGACACCCCCATTTTGACGATCAATCGAAATCGGCACGTGTGTCAGGGGCGCTAACGAACAAGCAAGAGATACACTGCAGGGGGGTGCGCCGATCGGGAAGTATGTATATATACATACGTACCGATCGAAGACGTAATGTGGGGCGTCGATCGGTACCGCTGGGGTTAGCGAATCCGTCACCGTAATAATATCGAAACCAACCGCAGCTCGGAGAAGTAACAACAGGGTAAGAGGTCGCTTTTTTTATGCTCCCCCTGTCCCCCTTGTATGAGCACGCGTGTGATACGATTAACACGCCGGTCGTCGAATGTTGGAAAAAGATGTGTGTACCGAAAACGAGACGATAAGCGTCGTTAGAGATGTTACGCCAATTAACTCTGGGACATCGATTTCTCATTTTTCAAATGGCCTGCATATCAGAAGTACATAGAGTCACGTATACCGATTTTAAAAGGCGGTGGCGGTGGGGGAGGTGAAAAACAATTATCGATTCCGATTTCAATATATTTTGCGGCATATCTCAAGTACACGGAGTCACGTATACCGATTTTAAAACGCGGCGGTGGGAGTAGATGAAAGACAATTATCGATTCCGATCTTCCCTCCTTCCTTGAATGATGTATATATATAAATGTATTTTTGCGCGCGCGCGCGTGTGTGTGTGTGTGTGATGGCACATTGAGACAATGAAACCGTGCAGTACTTGGTGAACCGGTACAGTTGCAACAACCATTCTTGTTACAGAAGCGGAGCGAAAGAGCAGAGAGTACTCCAGGCAGCAGCCACAGAGGAGGAAGAAGGAAAAAAGGTCGTAGCAAGGGGAGAGAAGGAAGGTATCGTTGCCGGTGTGTTGGTGGACCCGGGCGGTGGGTCGCCGAGATAGCACGATAGCACCGCTGGTGCCCTCGGCCGCGGGTCCCGGGGGGACGGGCGCCATGGCGGCCTCATCGTCCTCGTCGAGCGGCGAGCAGCAGTACTCCCTACGCTGGAACGACTACCATTCCAGCATCGTCAACAGCTTTCGGCACTTGCGCGACGAGGAGGACTTTGTTGATGTGACGCTCGCCTGCGACAACAGCAGCTTCACCGCCCACAAGGTCGTCCTGTCCGCGTGCAGTCCCTACTTCCGCAAACTACTCAAGGTAAAAGTTTCTTCTTTTCTTTTTTTCCCTTTTTTTTTTTTTTTTTTTACATTTTTACCTCCAAAAAAACGTACATACTTTGCCCCACAAGTACAAGAGTAAGTAAAATAATTAAATACATGTATAGCATATATAAATATATACATATTATATACCCATGCAGGGCATCAGCCCAAATATAAAAATACTCTCCTATTACGTGTAGTTATATAGATATATATACATACATACATACCCCTTGTACCAACGGGAGGCAGACACGCGATCCAAATACTTGTGCCCCTGCATCATCCTCCCCCTCGTAAGCGATGTATGCGCGTTTCAAGTACCTCGGCCGTGCACGCGTGTTTTGTGTCTCTGTTGTTTCGTGCACCGTTGCCGAGGTAGGAGGACTCGAGAGAAAAAGAGAACACACGCTCAGAGGCCTCACACACCGGAATAGAAAAACAAAAATAATTTCCCTGGCTCCCTTATGGGCCGTGTCTGTGTGGGTACACCGTATATAACAAGGAGGGCGGGGGAGGGGGGTTGTCGCTATGTAGCGCAGGGGTGGACGGGCCGCGCCAGCAAAAACGGGAATAAGTATACGACGGAACGATATATACCAACAACGACAATCATCATCAACGGTGTAACAATTGCCCGTGAGCATATACCTTTTCTTTTTTGATGTACGGCAGGCGACTGCTGCGTCTAATATAATTATATGGACGCTGGGTCCCGAGCTACCGGAGGTGCCTTATGTATATACAATAAGCCACATGATGGCTCTGTCGGTAGCGTGTCTGCCTACAGATCTTGATGGCCGGGGTTCAAATCCCACTCTGGACAAAAATTTCATCATTGAATGAGGTTTTTTTCTGGATGGGAGTTGTACTTCAATAAACCTACCGATCCATCTACCGTTTCCTCCTACTGTTATTAAAACCCAACGTATGGCTAAATACACTTTATGGTGTCAAAATAGCCATGTCTGAGCCCTTAAGGGGCGATGATGAATATAAAAAAAAAAAATGTATATACAATACTAGGTGTGCTGTAGGGCACATGTATATTTGGGCGAAGGACGCCCACGCGTACCTTCCTCCCTGCCTCCTTCTTCGCGTGTATACGATCGGTGCCGATAATTTGCCGCGTGTCGCGGGTAACGAAATGGGAGGAGAGAGGATCGACGCCAAGTGTATAGTGGGTGGGTAATCGGCAACGTTAAGAGGGGCTGTCCATGTATACGCAGTATTATATACTCAAAGTGAAAATGGCTATTCTAGTCGTCGTGTAGTATAGCCTTTGGTTTGTTGCGCATTGCACAATAGAGGTACCCTAGTATCCATCACCTACCCGCGGAGCAACTAGCACACGCGCGCACTCGGTGTTGCTCCTTTTGGATTATACCCCCGATGCATATGGGTTGTGCAGCATCATCATCACAGTATTACAAATATACATAATATACCTGTATAGAGCGCTGCTCCACTATGCGTTTAGCGTTTATAAACGCCTGACGTTAAACGCACTCGGTGCTGCTGTTCTATATTCTATTTTTACGAGAGATGCTTTCCTCTCTCTCTCTCTCGGTCTCTCCTCGCTGCAACGCCGCAGAGCAGCGCCTATATATATATACTATACTCGTCTCATCTTCATTGCGCTATCTCTCGCAGCACTTTTTCTCTTCTCTCCCTGCGCCAAAGCAGCGTCGCTTTCTAAAAATATGGTCCCGCACGGCGAGCGCGTGTACCGCGGGCTTTCGGCAATCGCGTTTATTAGCTTCGAATAATTTTTGTTTTTTCCCCCCACCTTCGTACACTCTCTCTCTCTCTCCGGGGGCCGATTTTCGTTCGATACTCCCTCGACCGGAGAACGGTTTTTTTTTTTTTAATTTCGTCTATCGTTGAAAATCTCCCTTCCTCCTACGTGAGATGAAAAAAAATTTCTTTTTTTTTTTTTTCCAACCGAGGAGCGTAAAAACAGTGGGGCCGAGCAGAGAAATGCGTATCGAAAGTCCGCCAAACATGTATATACGCATTTATTTCCGAAACGCCTGTCCTTACATTTTTTTGAATGCGTACATGTATATTTGCATATGCAAATCCGTGAATACGGTTGTTGAAGGAGGCAATAAATACATCCCTCCTCTTTTCATCGAGTGACCGCTATACGTATAAACGTAATTGCCCAATGGAGGAGAGAAAAAAAAATAACGATAATAATGTGAGCGAGACGCGCGTGTAAAAGTCCAGGGAAAAACGGTACTTTTAATATACTTTTGGCATGACATTATCATACATATATACTTTCGGGTATTAAAATATTGTAATGGGTATTATATGAACAACGACTGCGTAGACGAGAGAACGGGAGTCCCACGTTCCGTAATGGCGTTTAATCGAGGCAAATGTGAGCAAAGGAGCGAAACGAGCATTAATTTAGTCACTTATTTGTCCGGGGCAAGAAGAAGCATCACACACGCGACAGTTGAAACATTCAATTGAAAACAGCCACGTGCACATGTACATGTACGTATATGAACAAGTAACAACTCCGCGTCTCTGGTGCGTGTGTGTGTGTGTATAATTTATATACATACAAATTCATGCACTTTGCGACGCCCGAATTTTTTTTTTTCGACTGGCACACTTTTTTTTTAGGTGTAGATACACACACAGACACAGAGGCTGTGTCGACTCGCGGCGCAATAACAACCTCGTGATTCACAAAAGTGACGAGATGAGGCTGCAAAGCCACACCAGGACGGACAAGCACATATATATAATACACGATTTTGTATGGGTACATGGCGCGCTAAAACGATCGGGCGAGTGTTTAGTTAGCGCGCGCGCGCGCATTCCTCTAATCTTTTTCGACGCAGCTGCCGGTCGCTGTACCACAATATTTATACTTGCATTTATTTTTCAAATCTTTGGAGCTTTCGTACAATTAACTTTACGGATATCGCTTCGATGGAGTTGCTTAAACAATACAAAAAATAAAAAAAAAAAAAAACAATAAAACGAATGAATGAAAATGTAGTCAGTGGTGGCAAGCATCAGACAGAGTGGGATTTTTTAATTGATTGCGTTTACCAAATGTAGGCGCGCCTGAGCGTTAATTATAATGACAGTACCTATAATGAAAGCAACTGGAACGAGGATGACGACATTCGGGGAAAAAAAAGTAATGTAATTATAAAAAGAAAACAAAATAATGAGCTTGTGAGACGGTGCGCGCGTTTGAGTTCAGGTATATTATACACCGAGACAATTTTGTATATGAAGGGGGTAAAGCTGTCGAATCGAGTGAATTGCCGGTGGAAGAACGACGTACGCGAATTTCGGAGTCGAGCGAGACGGTCGCGCTATTATTTGCCGACGAAGTGAAAAAAAAAAAAAAAAAAAAGGAAGCACACGGCATACGCGGAATAAGGAGCGAGCGAGGGACGCTGACGCACACTCGCGAGCCCCGCGTTTAGTTATATACACGCACGTAACATGATAATAGCCCCTCTCTCTCTCTCTCTCTCTGCTGCAAGAGGAGAGGGAAACGTAAGTGCGCGCACGGGTACACCCACGCCTCTCCTCCTCCTCCGTTTGAATGGTATACAGCCACCCGCGGGTGTGTATATTTTTCGCTGCATCGCTTGTGTACATCACACTTACCCGTTAAACATATTACCTGTAACGCATAAGCATGAACGTGTTTTAATAAAGAGCCCGCGAATCGTCACCCTTCACCCATTCAAGTTGTATACGTATACCGCGTATAGGCATATCTGGTGCGCGGCCCTCGTGAAATTTCCCGTTTACGTATATTATAATATACATATTATATACCCATACCGATCGTATAGCCGCTACGTTTGTTCATATATACAATTTATATCTATACCCACGTCCCCATTCGGCGATGGTCCGTTTACGTAAATGTACAGCTTCGTGTATATTATACATACCTTTCGCTCCGCGCCCGTGCATAAGTGGGTATTATAATCACGTAAAATCCGCAGGGGGAATCGGTAATTAATCGGCGGAGGGGTGGAGAAGAGGTTGTTTTATTTTGTTAATCCCATCGCTGGGTGGTGCCGGGGGTAAGAGACCATCATGGAACACAATGCGCAAAGGGAGTATTTATAGATCGAGCGAGCGGGGTGGGTGTGTATGGGTCGCCTGTACGGCCATTAACTGCTTTGGGTGTGTACGCGTATCGAACGGTATACATATGGGCGGAGTGCGTATACATGTGAGCTCGCGCTCCGTGGAAAGTTGTAATCGGATACGCCGATGTCTCCGGGGCTCGTCGATTAATTCATTTCGAGTGCTGATGGCGCGGAAGATGACGAGAGCGTGGAGTATACGGAGAACGTATGAGGAATCAGGGGGGGGGAAACTATATTCGCTCTCTCTGGGCAGAGCAACTGTATTATATGTGTATATGATGGCACAGGACGTGGGAGTCTGCGAGACCTCCCCCTCCAGTTTTACTCATTTGGTACATTTTTTTTACGCCACCCTCGTATAATGTAATAATGAAGACTTTTCACATCCCTCCCGTTTTTTTTTTTTTTTATTTTGCCTACGTAAATATAATCATATACACCCACTTACTTACGTATACCTATACGTGCGGGCGAGAGCTCGAGAGGTGAAATATGATTGCCTCGAGACTTTCAATGAGCGGATTCGTGAATAAATTCATTAAGATGATTTCCAGCCTGCTCGTACGGGGCTCTTCTCCTCCTCCTCCTCCTCCTCCTCCGACGATGGTGATCGTTCAAGACGCTCGTTAAATCTCTCGTTTCGCGCTGTGCTCTTTCTCTCCTTATACATATGAATATATACTTTTACTATACGTGTACCTTTGCTCGATGACAAATTTGCACGCGTATAAGCTTTTTTTTTTTTTTTTTTTTTTTTTTTTTTCATGACTTTTTTTTTTTTTTTATTGAATCGCACGAGCGCGTGTATGCGCGACGGTGACGGCGTATACGTATGGGTGTAATTGACGCG